GCTGAAAAGAAACAAATAAATAAATACATAAATTATTAGTCTGCTAACGTCATGATCAAAATGTTGATAGGTAAAGTTATATTTCGTTTCAGGTCCAACACTTATTGGTATTCTTCCGTATGCTGGCTTGAAATTTTACGTTTATGAGGAACTCAAAAGGCATGTTCCTGAAGAGCACCAAAAGTCCATCTTAATGCGATTATCTTGTGGAGCTTTGGCCGGTTTATTTGGGCAGACGTTCACATATCCACTAGATGTTGTCAGGAGGCAAATGCAGGTTATGTATTATTCTTTCATATTTCTATGAACGTAAGGCTGGATGGTGGTATGTATGTTATGGAAAGATAAAATTTTAAACCAGAATCAAATTGTAATTTGTTTCTGTAGTTATGAAACTATTGTGGGTAATAATTAGACCAAACTGATGTAAAATTTAGTAATAATGATTTATCCCTTCTTTTCATGTCTTGGTATAGCATTTTATGGACTCAATTTATAAAACCAGGCATTGCCATTCTTAGACAGGTATAGCTATTGTTCTATTATTCTCAATATATTGCTGGGTAATCTTGCTGTGACCACTTTATATATGATCTATTCCTTTCGCTTGTGGGAAGCTATCGAAAGTTTCATTGTTTACTCGGATTAGTAATTATAAGGTATTTCAGGTTGAGCATTTGCAACCCTCATCACAAGGTGGTGGTGTGTACAAGAGCACCTTGGAAGGTCTCTCGTACATTGTTCATAATCAAGGTTGGAAGCAATTGTTTGCCGGTTTAAGTATCAATTATATCAAGGTAATCACTCTCTATAATTGATATACCACTTTAAAATTTTGGCATTAATTTTCTTGAAAATAGAAAAAGAAAAGAAAAGGCTTCTGTTATCCTTTGAAACTGAAATCCCACTCTAGAGTACAACCTGGTATTATTTTTCTGTAACTATAAATCCATTGTTATGGGTCAGCATTTTTTTTTCTTTTTTATTCTTTTAACCATCCCTTTGGGAATTAAAGATTTAAACATATACTTTTATCTGTCTTGACAGAAAACAGATTTTTTTTTTTTTCTTTCTTTTTTTGGTTGCTTTCTGCAGATTGTACCCTCTGTTGCAATTGGTTTTACAGCATACGACATGATGAAAGCATGGCTTCAGATACCTCCTAGGCAACAATCAAAAACAATATCTGCAGCATAAGTTTTTGCTTCGTTTATTACTGTAATTCAACTGTCTGGATCTGGACATGATTCTATTTACATCGATTTACTTGCATACTATCTGGCTGAACCAGTGTTGAGCATTAGTTTTTTTTTTCTTTTTTTTTTTGTATGCATAAACTCATAAAAATCACAACTCGCTATATATACTAAAACACGAACATTCTACTAAAAGCCAGAGGCCGATGGAGCTGAAACCAACCAAATAACTACCCAAATTAGAATCATATTCAATCACATTCATTTAAAATTCTGAAGAGATCCCTAACTGATCCACAAGATCTAGCAAATCCTTACTCCATTCAGGCGCCTTACCCACCAACTCCTCGACTTCCACGTCATCGTCTTCATTGCCATTGATGACATCATCATTCAAAAACTCCTCCCATATATTCATTGCCATTGATGACATCATCATTCAAAAACTCCTCCCATATATTCATCACATTATTCAACTCGGTCTCAACATCCGGGCTCATTGTGAGCCTTCTCTTCTGCCCAATCTCTGTGCTTTTTGTCAGTGTACTTATTATTCACGTATTGCTCAACCAATAACGGGCTCTTGAAAGCCTTAGCAAGAAAACTCATCATCTGCTGTTGCTTTTTCTCAGTGGCCCGGATTGTATCCTCCATCTCCATTATCCGGGCCCTCGAGCTCTGCTGCTGCAGTTTGAGCTTGATAACCTCAGACATTAGTAGATTCTTGTCACGTCTTAATCCCTCAAGGCCCCGTGTTTTGTTTGTTTGTTCCTTGCATCACATTTCGCTTCCGTTTGATTGTTTTAAGGAGATGCTTCTGTCCAGCCAAGAATCCCTCGTTCGCGAATTCCCATCTGTCGTGGTCCACCTTTCGAAAACCCTGCAATTTTTTTTTACGGCATTTTTAGTATTGTTGTGAAAAATTGGGAATAGACATGTGCATTACCATAAGAAACTGAGTAAAACAAGCTACGACAGTCTCTTTCTTGATAGTTGAAACTTGAAACAGCTAACTTTGCCACCATTACTGCAAGCATAGGATGATGATCAGAAATAATTACAGATTCTTTTTCTCTTTAAGAATGAAAAAATGAAGATTGAGAAATTACAATGTTGTTTAAGCACGTTAGTGGCTCAATTTTACCACATGTTCGGATAAAGACGAATCACAACAGCGATCCAATTATAGAACTTCTTCAAATTTCAGAGTTAGAACTAACAAAACAGCTAAAATTTGCCACCATTACTGCTAGTATAAGATGATGATCAGAAATAATAACAAGATTCTTTTACTCTTTAAGAATTAAATAACTTCTTCAAATTTCAGAGTTAGAACTAACAAAACAGCTCAAAGTTGCCACCATTACTGCAAGCATAATATGATGGTCAGAAATAACTACAGATTCTTTTACTCTAAGAACTTAGAAACGGAATTGTGAAAGTACATCGGAATTTAAGCATGCCGGTGGCTCGATTTTAGCGCATGTTCGGACAATAAGAATTACAAAACAAAAACTTGAAATTTCAGAGTTAGAGCTTACAAATTATATAAGGTCATAGCCTTAACACAATATAGCCACTTAAAAGCACACTATAATAAAGCCAAAACAAAAACACAAACGCCAAAAACTAAGAGCTTAAAGGTAAAATTGAGATACTCGCAAAGGGTTTCTTAAAAAATCACTTACATGGGTATTGAGCTGCCTGATGAAGTTGGAGAAATTGCTGTGCTTGAAGTGTTTGGGCAGCAAATCTGTAGAGAATTTGTGCGAATCCCACACAATAAAGGTGTTCATGGTCTTGCCCCACGAGATCACGGCATCGGTCGAAGGGTCCGCCACCATATCCAAGGTCTTGAGCAAGAACGGAGGTGGGCCCACCTCATGTACACCCTCCACAGCCCACAGGCATCAGCGAAGATGATGATGATGAAAAGGAACACTGTAAAAACCTCACTTTCTCATTTTACCAACAACAAATTTTGGGAATTTTCTTAGCTCACATTCAGAAAAACNTGGTCGAGCATTTATAGCTCTTTCAATCATGCAAGAAGACGACCTAAACGACGTTGTGTTGTACACGTACTAAAACGACGTCGTGCGCTATTTAATCCAACTAAAATGAAAAGAAAACAAAACGGTGTCGTCTTAGGCAGAACGACACCATATGAACTTAAACAGAACAAAAGAAAACGCAGCAACAAATCATGCAAAGAAGAACAGAGAAATGCATGCAAATAAGAGATCTGCTCCGTGATCTTCAACACCCGCCCCTCAAGTTGGGCCAGGATGAACCACAATCATGCTCAACTTGCACACAAGAGCAGCAAACCGGTTACCAATGATGATTTTGGTGAAGAGATCTGCCAGCTGGTGCAAAGAAGCAACAAACATAGGGAGAATGAAACCTTGCTTGAATTTGTCCCTCACAATGTGACAATCGATCTCCAAATGTTCTGTTCTTTTATGAAACACCGGGTTAGCAGAGATGCGCATGGCAGCCTGGTTATCACACCATAAAGAAATAGGAAAGATGATAGAAAGCTGAAATATTTGAGCAAGGTAATGCAGCCACATCAACTCAAAGACAGTGGAACCCATAGCACGTTATTCAGCCTCAGCTGAAGATTTGGACACTGTATGCTGTTTCTTACTTTTTCAAGAGATGAGAGCATCTCCAAGAAAAATACAAAACCCAGTAATAGATCTTCTAGTGTCCTTACAGTTGGCCCAATCAGCATCACAGTAGGAAACAAGAGAGAAAGATGTTGAGAGTGATGGATAAAATAAACCCAATGCTGGAGAGCCCTTCAAATATTTCAAGATGTGTAAGGCAGCATGCCAATGAGAATCATGAGGTGTGGTGACAAATTGACTTAGCTGCTGGACAACATAAGTCACATCAGGCCTAGTGAGGCCAAGGTATAACAATCCTCCTATAAGTTTCCTAAATAAATCTAGTTCTGCCATGGCTGTCCCACTGTGAGCCATTAACCTGATACCCAAAGGTAAAGGTGTAGGAGAAGCTGCACACTCCATCATGTTCATATCAACAAGAATATCCATAATATATTTCCTCTGACATAAAGAAACCTCTCTGTAGAGATGGCCACGGGCCGGACCGGCCCGTGGTCCAGGTCCCGGACCGGCCCCGACCCGATACCGGACCGGCCCGCAACCGGTCTGTGGTTGCCGGTTCCGAGGACCGTAACCATGGCTTTACGGGTCGGAAATGGGTCTCGTGTTTTCATTTTGGTCCCGGTGGTCCGGGACCGGGTCGGGGGCGGGCCGGGACCAGTCCGGGACAAGGCCGGTTCACGGGCCCAACCCTTAGTTTTTGGCGGGCCGGTTAAGGGTTACTCAAGGGAGGCCCGTGGGCCCGGTAGGCCGGGCCGGGCTGTGACCCGTGGACTGGCCACCCCTACCCCTCTGGCTGTATAAGCAAACTCAATGCCCAAAAGACACTTTATAATTCCCAGATCTTTGATAGTAAAATGATCATCAAGAAATTGCTTCAAACCTTGAATCAGAGATAGGGATGAACTTGTGACCAAAACATCATCTACATAAACCAACAACGCCAAGAAATCTGTGCCTTTTGTAGTTATAAACAAGCAATGATCATCGTGGGATTGAATAAGGCAATAATGAGATAGTTTAGTGCAAAGTTCATTATTCCACTCTCTTGATGCTTGTTTAAGTCCATAGAAACTCTTAATCAACCTACATACCTTCCCTGGGCTGCATTGTCATAACCCAAAGGTGGCTGCATAAACACTTCTTCAGAAAGTGTGCCATAGAGGAAGGCATTATTGACATTCAACTGATGAATGGGCCAGCCTTTGTGTACTGCAATAGCAATGAGAAATCTGATTGTCACTAATCTTGCCATAGGTGAGAAAATGTCAAAATAATGGACACCTTCTATTTGACTATATCCCTTGGCCACAAGTTTGGCCTTAAACCTCTCAACAGACCCATCTGCCTTTTTTTTGATTTTATATACCCATTTACTTTCTATTGCTTTCTTCCCATGCGGAAGGTCAGTAATTTTCCATGTATGGTTGGCTTCCAAAGCATCTAACTCCCTTTGCATAGCTTCCACCTAAGAAGGATGTTGAACTGCTTGTTTGTAATGTACAGGTTCCTTTTCAAGAGAAATGTTAGCTGAGAATTCCTTTTCTGAGGTCAATAAATGTCCACAAATGTAGTCATGATGTCAATTTGGTGCCCCTCTTGACCTCCCACTCCTCTTCAAACCTTCAGCACTGTCAGTAATATGAACTTCACTTGGTACAGGAACTATTTCAACTTCTGAATAGTCATCTTCTATGGCTTTTGGCATGACAGTTTCAGATGTGTCATGTGTTATGTAAGGAAACACATCATCAAAGAAAATCACATCTCTGGAAACAAAACATTCCCTACTATCCACATTGTAAAGCTAAAAACTCTTCTTTCCTAGAGCAGAACCAAGGAAAACACATTTATTTCCTCTAGGTTCATACATCGATTTGAAAGGATGAACATTAGTGGCATATGCTAGACATCCAAAAGGCTTGAGATTTGCATAATCTGGTTGCTTCCATAAATTTTCTCAAAAGGTGTAGCCCACTGTAGAGGAGCACTAGGGAGTCTGTTTATAACAAATGTTGCAGCTTGTATAGAATAAGGCCAGAATTTAATTGGTAGTTGTGCTTGATAGATCAGTGCCATGCCAATTTCAAGTAGCAGCTTATGTTTTCTTTCAACCATACCATTTTGTTGTGGTGTGTACACACAAGTGGTTTCATGGACAATTCTTTTTCCTTGAAGAAAGACTTGTATTTCATTTCCCAAGAACTCCTTGCCATTATCTGTCCTTATTTTCTTGACTTTGGTGTCAAACTGAGTTTCAATCATTGACACAAAACCACTCAACAATTTAGAAGCTTGTGACTTTTGTTCCATCAAGAATACCCAAACACCCCTACTATGATCATCCACTATAGTCAGAAAGAAAGGTGTACCAGTTATAGTTTCTTCTTTGCAAGGTCCCCAGATGTCAGCATGCAACATCTCAAAAATCCTGGTAGTATGTATGTAACAGCTTTGAAATGGAAGCCTTTGTTGTTTGGCTTTATGACATACTTC